ACTAGATGCCAGGCTCTACCTCCTCCTTTACACCAGCTCTGAAACTCATCAGATTCATCATGCAAGCTGCCAGCAGGGTGCAAGACTCTGGATCAGCAATCTGAACCAGGTCAGTAAAAACGTGTCAGAAGAGGACAGACAGGAAAAGAAATTGCTCTCTTTTGGTGGAGGCAGCCTGCTACACCACCTCGAGTCTATCGTTTTCATTCCAACCTTCCGCTAACGTCAGCAGATGAGCACTTACAGAGTTGGCTGTGGCCACCCTGTGGGGATGGTCCTGCCTCTAGCTGCCACATCTGCCCATTCCTGGGCAGACACCAAACAGCTTCATCATCAGCCAAAGGCAATATCTAACTTCACTGCAAATGGAACAAGGTGGAAAGCCCAGTATCTTTGCCTTAAAGCACTGAGGAACCTGAGCCTAAGCCGAAGCATCACGACGTGAGGTTTCAGTGTCCAGAGCTAATGTGCTGCCATGCTCTGTGAGCTCAGCAGGCAAAACCTGCAATGTCCCACCTGACCCATGACAGAACACAGCCACTCTATCAAGCCAGGTTCACTCTCAAGGCCAGCAAGAACAGACAAGGACAAATGATTAAAAACACATAGTACGAGTCCCTTAGCTTTAATACTATTCTAGCAAAATGGCATAAGAAAATCAAGCATACCTTGACCATAACAATGAAATTTTGGGCCTTCTTTGAAAATGAGACTTTCAGGTGCACACAGTTTCTTTTTTTTTAAATGCAAGCTGCACACTCCAAAATGTGTTGAAAGACCTAATGGGTGGCATGCAATGCAATAAGGGATGGGATAGGGGATGAGGGCTGAAAATGGCAGAGGGACAACAATTTACATTTCAAAGTACTGGAAGAGTTGCACCAGATGTTTAAATGATGTTCTAAAAAAGGGCTTGTACCCTCTTATGTATTAACCACTGAAGCTCTGGTTTGCAGCATTCTGCATCTGAAATATACTTTAGAGCTGACTGCCCCAGTGATGTGGTCATTTCAACAGGCTACGTGGAACATGCCATGAATTTGAGCTTCTACACCTGAAGTGGGGATAAATCGTCAAGCAAACTGCACTAAAGCTAGGGCCAAGATGCACCAAGTGAAGAGCAGCATGCCTGTGCTGTGTGGCATACCGCTGGGAACTATTTCCATGTTGAGCAATCCATGCAGATATGTCCTGAATCAAGTTTAATTTTTCTGTGAACTTCTGTCAGGAACGAAGATGGAACACCAAGAGAAAGTAAGGACACTGGAGCTACACCACTCTCTCTTCACCTGAGAAAGACAAACCAAGGAACCAACCAACCAACCAACCACACACAGACAACAGCAAACAGAGAAATGGAGACTAGGGATAAAAAGAAACAGAACTGCTGACTCAGCACATTGAAAAACCCCACAGTGATCATGCCATCTTAAATCAATTCCCTTTCCAAGATCTATACCACTACCTGCATTTCTGTGAATGTGGCTTTACTGCAATTTCTTTCAGATCAAAACTGAAGCAAGTACAAAAGACTGCCCAGCCAACAGGACTGCAAGCGTCCCAGCTAACCAGCATGCGATAGCAGAGACCTTGAAGCTCCTTCTCAGCCCACAGGTCTCAGGTCTTATTTTTATGCAGACTGTATTGATTTATTGCGAGGTATCAGGAAATTTCTGAATGGTCTGGCCAGCTTCACATGCTTCGCTGACTTTTGAAATGAAAGCAACAGAGCTTTTGCTTAAGTCAACAGTGTAAGTCACCGGTTTAAAGGTCACCACTTGATTGCACAGCACAAGAAGCAGACACTTATCTTCCCAGTCCAAGGACTTCTGGCTTTCTGGGCAGCAGCACACAACACTGTAATGGATCATTTGGAAATACGCTTTTGCAGAGATATAAACAAAACAGGGTACAAGAGGACGGGCCTGTGAGCACAGGGTGCCTGGGCCTGCTGTCCCACATGTAGCCCTGGCTTTAGAGGAGCGGTCACCAGGCCATCCCGGCAGCCTCCACCCCTACACAACAGGCGGGATGTAGGGCAGCAGCTCAGGGCGCAGCCTGCACCAGTGCCCGCGCCATCGCCCTGAGCCAGGGCCGCCAGGAGGTCGCAGGGAGGTGGGGGCATGGAGCTGGTAGATGCCACCGTCCCACATACACCATGGGCAGCAGTACGGGAGATCTGGATCTGCTTTGGAGAGGCAGTGCAGGGGAAGAGGTGGGCTAAAGCAAAAAGCGCACCTTGGGAAAGAAAAATCCCGCAACTCCACGGGGTGTGCACTCCCAGCTAATGCACTTATAGCTCAGCAAGTTGTTTCCAAATCCCAAAAGCGAGTCAGGACATCGGCCCGGCTGAGCTGCAACCGCAGCAAGGCCCCTCCTGCGAGCACCGGGGGGCCTTGAGAGCAGCTCCTCCAGAACTGCTAAGAAAGCAATCCCCAGCAAATCCCATCGGACTAACCGTAAAAAAGGGCCAATCCCAAGCAAAACCTATCGGGCTGACCCAATGAAAAAGGCTGGCTGCTGTGGCAGGGCTGTGTTGTCATACATCGCTTACGTTTGTTTTAATTTTAAACCCGGAGTCAGCCCAAGGTTTGTTACACAAACATATGGCACCCGTATTACATTCTGCCTCGTATTTATAGAAAGTACTGCGGCAGTCCAGACAGCGCAAAGATGCCATAACGTTAACAACATTTATTATTAGTATGACAAAAGAACAAAAGTAAGCCTGCAGAAACCAGGACTTAAAGTTTAAGGGGTTGGTTGGAATAAGGAACCAAACTGCAGAGCTATTAGTGAAGAAAATCCCTCCAGCATTAACACACGCAATCCCCAGGCCACCGAGCATTTTGTTATATAAACACGCCCCCAGAAAGGCAATTTCTTTAAAAACTCAAGCCCTGAACACTGATTACCATGTTTAATACCAGCCCGATTAGCACTGCTGAGCCCCAGCCCGGGGAGCGGTGAGGCAGAAGTCCTCATCCCTTTCTGGATCCTGCTGCTGAGGAGAGTGGATTTGGGACAAAGGGTGAATCTTAATGATGCCTTTTTATTGCCCTGCCACTTCCTCCTCAGCCCAAACAAGTGGGAAGGGTACCAGCATGTCCCCAGCAGCTATAAATGCCATTACTAGATTTTTCCATTCCAACTGCAAAGGTACACGCAGCAGAGGCTGAATCCTCTACCCTTGACCTAAAAAGAAAGCAGGAAAAAAAAAAAAAAAAAAAAAAAAAAGGGAAAAAAAAAAAAAAAAAGGGAAGCAGGAGAAAGCACCCCAGCAGCACTCGCAAGGCCGAACATTCTGGAAGAGCATATTAGCTTTGGCCGCTGCCCAGCACTAGCTGCAGGAGTGTGCTGGTTAATCTGTAGCCAGACTGAGAGCAATGGGGAGCAGGACAGGGCCACCCTGCAGGCAAGGAGGGGTGAGGGGCTGAGGGTGTCGGTTTTTTTTGTTTTGTTTTGTTTTTTTTTTTCAAAAAAATTTTATTGGGAGAACTACAAAACATTTACAGTACAAAGTTTACAGTCTCACACAATTTGTAGTGAACTGACTCCCGAAAAATATATTACAACTCAAGTTGACTTATCCTTTAGTTACATTCAAAACATACTTCTGTTAAAGTAGTCCAAAAGAGTACATAGTGCTCAATCTGTACCTATGTACAAACAAAACTAAGCTACCGCTCATTCATCCACCGTCCAGGAAAGTTTTGGAAAACTCCCGACTTTCTACATAAGAAAAAAAAAATATTACAAGTTTTGGAATTCAATTAAACAAGATATGCTCGTGAATAAAGTTTCAGATCCAAAGATGGCCGCCATTCTTACAAAATAAAGAGTGGTGAAATTTTGCTGTAGTCAAAACCCATCCCTACATTCAAATTATCACCTCAAGCATTAAGAGAAATACTCATTTGGTTGAGAAGTATTTAAGGCAAGCGTGGACCCTCCAGAAGGCACTGTGAGGCATAATACTGGGCACCCCAATTATTGCTACATCCGTTGAGACTACATCACAGTGTGAGTGGTGGAGTTAGGCAACGAGGAACACTTTTTGGTTATACTTGGAACGAGGCTGCATCAGGTTCGCCACTTTGAAGTCTGATTGCCAAAAGTCAGTCTCTTGTTGGTTTTCTTCTACTCGGACGGGCTACAACCATTTACATTCTAAAAAAATCCCATAGAAATTCCTCAAACTACTTCCACAGCATCGAGACCGATTTCTATACAGAAACCATGCAATCTTTCAGATTTACGTAAACAAGGAAAGAAATTAATGAAATAAATATTACATACAATCTCTTAAATTAAGAATTTTACTCATTTACAATAAAATAACCAAGTGAAGTTACAAAAAGGCATATATTACTGTGAAAAGAACACACTCCACATTTCGCCGATTAATAATGGCAATCATAATTTAAACATAATAAAAGAATATATATCTATTGCTTTTCATCATACCCGATAAATACAGTATGAACAAATTACCAATGCATACTTTTCACAAGATAATAAATAAGTTAAATAGTTTCATATTGAGTTGTGTGCAGTGACTCATTCATGCAATCAACTCAAAACAGCTAAAAAAAAAATTAAAAAAAAAAAATCAGCAGTTATTCTCCAACAATTACAAACTAAACTCGGTCGAGTGCTTCCAAATAAAGCAACAACGAAAAAGAAAAGTTGTTCTAAGCCAAACATCCACTAAGTGGTGGCAATGGAACCAATATTAAACTTTGGAATGAAGGTTTTAGCATTTGTTATAATAATAATATATAGATATATAAAAAAAATAGAAGGTTGTTATCAAGGCATATTCTTGGCAGGATGTTGGATTTCGCGCTGGAGAAGCTCGCGGTGGGTCCGGCCGCGTTCCCGGATGGAATGGTGCTGCTGGTGCGGATCAGAACTCGTCTCCGGAGAACGAGAAGGACAACTCCGAAACACAAATCCCCCTTCTTCCAAGGTCTCTCTAGAAAAATAGGTTTGTTCAGTTCACGTCAGTCGCCCTTTCGCACGACGCTTTTCGCTTTGTTCAGCTCTCGTGTGTACATTGATAGGTTACGCGTATAAAAAAAAACAAACAAACGACAACAGACAAATAGAGAGGGGGGCCGGCTCGCTCCCCGCGCCCCACCGCCCGCGGCCCCATCCTTCTTTCCTTCCTTCCACCCTTCAGTCGTCGGAGATGGAGAGGCGGCTGAAGATGGGAAGGCGGCGGCCCGAATCCAGGCCGGGCGACTCGGAGCCGCTGAGCGAGCCGGAGCTGAGCGAGCCGCTCAGGTAGCTCTCGCGGTCCGAGAGCGAGTCCGGCGGGCTGGGCGGCGCGTCGAACACGGGCGACTCGGAGAGGCGGCGCAGGGGCTGGAAGCTGAAGGGCGGCGAGGCGGGGGGCGGCGGGCAGCCCCCGGGCGGCGGCGGAGGCTGCTGCTGCTGGCAGCGGTAGTAGGCGGCGGCGGCCACGGCGGCCGCGGCGGCGAAGCCGGGCGTGTGCAGGGCGAGCGGCGCGATCAGGCTGCCCAGCTCCTGGCCCGAGAAGGCGAAGGCGTTGTTAGCGCAGGGCGGAGAGAGCAGCTCCTCGCAGTACGAGGCGGAGGCGGGCGGCGGTGGCGTGCGGGAGCCGCCGGGGCTCTCCAGCAGCGCGGCCTCCAAGCGGCCGCCGGGCTGCGGCGGCGGCGGGGCGGCGCCGTGCGGGTGCGGGGGGTGGTGTTGGTGGTGGTGGTGGGCGGAGAAGCCGGAGAAGCTGAGGCTGTGGTGCAGCTTGGGCCGCTCCCCGCCGCCGCCGCCGCCGCCGCCGCCGCGCGGGTGCCCGAAGCCGCCGCCCAGCGGGTGCTCGCGGGGCGCGAAGGCGCGGAGGTCGCCGGTGCTGCCGGCGGGGTGCGGGGCCGCGTGGTGGTGGTGGTGGTGGTGCTGGTGCGGCGCGGCGGCCGAGGGCGGGGGGGCGGCGGCCGTGCCCCCGCCGGGCGCCGGGCGGCGCTCGTCGGCGTTGTGGATGAAGTGGCAGCGCGGGCCGTAGGGGCAGAAGCCGATGGTGTGGAAAGTGCGGCAGAGCTCGGTCTTGTACTTGGGGTGGCGGGTGAGACTGCGCAGCTCGTGGAAGCCGTGGGCGAACTGGCACTTCTCGCCGTACTTGCAGGCGCCGCTCTCCTCGAAGGGGCGGCACAGCTCCGTCTTGTAGCGCGTGGAGTTGATGGGCGCCCCGCCGCCCCCCGAGCCGCCCCCCTTGCCGGCCGCCGCCTGCTGCTGCTGGAGCTGCTGCATCAGGTGCTGGCTGCGCTCGCCGTTCTCGCTGAAGGAGCGGTCCCGGAACTTGTTCTCCTTGTTCAGCAGGGCCGTGGGGCTGCCGCCGCCGCCGCCCCCGCCGCTGGAGCCCGGCTCCTTCAGGCCGCCGAACGAGGAGGAGGATGAGGACGAGGAGGAGGAGGACGAGCTGGAGCCGGTGGGGCTGGGGAACTTGGTGCCGGCGGCCAGGGCCGGCAGGTTGCTGGTCGAGTGCCGCCGCAGGAAGCCCGGCGCGAAGCTGGAGCCGGAGGAGGTGACCGGGGTGCCCACGGCCTTCTTGTCCAGCATGCTGCTGAGGTTGGTCAGCGACTTCTCCGTCTGCGGGGCGGCGGGACGGAAGAAAAAGAGCGGGTTGCAGCGGGACCGCGCCGAGCCCGTGCCGCCGCTCCGCCAAAGTCGGGCGGAGGAGCCCCGGCCCCGAACGCGGCACCCCCCGGCGCCCCGCGCCCCCCTTACCTTGCACAAGAAGTCGATGTCGTAGAAGGCAGATAACAGCGTCGTAGACATCTCTAGATCCTGTAATGGTCGGAAATACAGGAAGGACCGAACGATCCCGCTCTCCTCGGAGGGTTTGGAAAAGCCACGACGAGACGGGAGGGGGCCGCGTGCTTCGGAGCCGAGACGGTCCCGGCTCCTTCCCGGCGGGGCGGGCGGGACGGCGGGTGCCGGGCCGAGGCGGCGACGGCGGCTGCACAGCAGCGAGCGACCTGCGGGAACTCCGCGGCGCCCCGCGCCGCCTCCATATAAACGCCGCCGCCGCGGCCCGCAGGGGCGGGCCCCGCTCCCCCCCGCCCCGCTCCGGCCCCCGCCCCGCCCCGAACCGAGCGGCCCGGCGGCGGCCATGGCGGCACGGGCCCCGCGGGAAGGGGCCGCCCCCGCCCGCCCCGCCGAAAATAAACCCGTGCCACGTAACTGCCGCGGGACAAAGGGCCGCGCGCGGGGCGGCGGCGGGTGCGGGCTGCTGCGGGCTGCTGCGCCACCCCTCCCCCCCCGCAGCCCCGGACGGGCGGCTGCCCCGTGACAGTGGCGCAGCGCCTGCCCCGCGCCGCCGGGCGGGAGGCGAAGTTAGCGTCCGCCAGGCTCAAGCGCTCCGTGGTCGCCCTACTGCGAGCCGTGCCCGGCTGCAAACTTCCCACGTCAGCAGGAAGCGCGCGCTGTCAGAGCGCGTTTGCGAGCGCGGGGCTGGGGGTGGGTGCGTTCCTCGGCCGCCCGTTGGGCTTTGCCCCACGCCGCGCTCCTGTACCACCCTCCCCTCCCCCCGACCCATCGCCGGTGGGTCTGGCCCTTCGCGCCCCTCAGGGCCCCTCCGAGCTGAGCTCGGTGCCGCGCCGCCCCCTGGCGCCCGCCCCGCGTAACACTGCCGGCCCCGGGGAGTGCGGCCGTGCCGCCCGCGTGCGGTGCTGCCCCGAGCACCGCGCCGCTGCTCCCGGCCCGTCCCTAGCGAGCTGCTGGGGCCGGCTAAGGGTTAAAGTCCTGCGAGCGGCCGGTGCGCGGTAACTGCGGGCAACGAAACCGCCAGGCGGACCTTTATTTGCTCCCTATAAAGTAGGGGGGAGCGCGGCGCTTGCTACACAAGCCGTGAGACACCGTGCCACCCAATGCACCCGACTCGTCCTCGGGGCCCACGGAGCTGCCAGAACGCGAGCTGCCGTCTCACGGCCACCGCCCGGCACCGCGCGCGGCACAGGCGCCCAGCTCTCATCGCGGCGCTAACTTTCCCCTTTGAGCGAGCGGGCGCTTCGCTTTAAGTAACATACGTCACCCCGAGCCCTGCAACTGACAGCGAGCGCTCGGATTCCCGCTCACTCTCGAGCCACGGTGCGATCTCGCGCCCCCGCCAAGCCCTGCCTGGAAGCGCAGCCCGCTCCGCAGCACAACAGCCTCGCGCCCCACCTCCGGCCGCGCGGCCCCCGCCTGCCGGTGCCGCCGCGCACGGCGGTGCTCTACTGCCACCTGCTGGCCGCCCATGGCGCTGCACGGCCCGACCCGGCTCTCCCGGCTGTCCCGGAGCGGCGGCAGCGCGGGAAGCGCCGCACACAGCGCCGCTGCTCGACTCGCATCGAGTGAAAGCGGTTTGCAAAACGTCAACGTTTCGCAACAGCGGCCATTCGATTTGCAGAAAATGCGGGCACGTGAAGCGTTAACTGATGCAGGTCCATCTATAAGGCTGATAGCAAAGTGAGGTTCAGAGAAGAATGCAGTAACGTTTAAGACACAGTCAAAATCTTGTCAAGGGCAAAGAAAGAAGCCAAGGTTTATTTAAGTAACACTTAAAAATTTACCCTATCCATTTAATAATTACCATTCCACACATAGAAAGAAAAAAAAAACAACCCTAAATTTTTCTTGGTATTAAAATACAGGAGGTCAAAACTTGGACTAAAACGTACCCTAACAGGTGGCCTGCACCTGGCTGAATGGAAAATATTAGGCTGAGCTGCTCTACTTCCTACAGTAGCAACAACAAACCATGCTCAGCCGAATTAAATTAGTAAATGCATTTAAAGGGAACTGTCCCCAGCAGCACACCTGACAAAAAATGAATGGACTCACGGATGGAAAATGCATTGGAAGCATGAATAGTGAACAGTTTATGGCAGGCTTCCTGGGCTCATTATGGCCATGTCTCAGCTCCACGGATACCCTCAGGATTGGCTCCTTGTTGAGCCTACAGCTCCCTGAGAATGAACTTTTAAGAACTTTGTAGCTTTTTAGGAACTTTTGGTAATTTACTTTTTCAGATTTCAATCTTTGCCCTCGTCAACTGACCGCAGCAAATTCAGTATTTTAAGGCAGAGTGATATTTGCTCAGTCTGAATGGCCAATTTTGTGAATTCTGCCGTTTTCAAAAATTCTGGACTTGGAGGTAGGGCTGAAAGGAGGTGGGCAATGAGCTGGGCTTGGTCCTGGGCCCTTTGGGAGAGTCGGTCAAGCTCTCCTCCATCCGGCAGAGCCAGGTGGGTCACCTGGGAGAGCAGCAGCAGGTGCTTACCCAGCAACCTGGCAGTGGTCAGCTTCTCTGCCCAGAAGTTCACTTCCCCTTTGTCAAACAGGCACTCGTCTTCTTCCTAAGTGGAAACACAGCCATTAGGAAAGGACCCATGTGGCATGGCAAGTGCTAAGTGAGGCTATAGTGAGGCAGGAGAGCATGCAGTCTGAACCCAGCAATCAGCAGCAATGACACTAAGTGCAATTAGCTGCAGCTGCAGCCAGCAGCCATTTGTTAAGTACCTCTTGATTTATTTCACTGTTTGTTGGTCTTTTAATTTCGTGCTGATATTGCCAGGCCACTGACATCAAACTCTATTTATTTATTCTAAGCACTGTCCATGTGATTTATTTTTTATTTTTAATTGTAATACAATTAATATTGGAGTAATGACCATCAGTCCACTCCACTATTCTGTTCCACTCCACCATGGGCCTGCAGAAGCACAGCAGCCCTACTATGGGACAGCAGCGGGTGTCACTTACTGGGGTGGATGTCTGCAGGCCTCCCCTTGGGTCGCTGTCTCCCAGCAGCCACCCCAGCAGCACTGGGATGCCAGCATGTGTCTGCCCCCACTGCTGGAGCTGCTCACACAGTGTGCCAAAGGCCAAGTCCAGGGCCAGGGGTGCGTTCATGACCCTGAACGTGAAGCCTAGCAAGAGAAAAGACATGCAGTGATGTATAGCAAGACCAAGATTTACACAAACATGTTTATAATGATGAATCAGACTGCAAGCAAGTTAGATGGATACTTGTCTCTGTGACACTCGGAGCCTTTTTTCCAGTTCCAACATCATACACAAAGCAGCTGAAACACTGATGCTTGATACTTTTTCCTGCTCACATAGTGACATTCCTCACTATGGATGTCTGTACACAGAGATGTCTGTTAGAAACGCTTCCAGAGATTGTGTCCTGACACCCCAACATGGTGACTATTTACACAAACCTGCAGCTATGCCATAAATCTGAGCTGATGACTCACTGGAACCCAAAGCCTACATTATATGAGCTGGGATATAAAATGAGTCACTATTTGGTATGCAGTCCCTTTGTACATGGTACAATATACACATACGCAACATGTATGAGATCAGCACACAAGACAGGTCTGCAGAAGATGCTAAAGAAGGGCAAAGCGGACACTGTTTACAATATCATCGCAGAGCTCTGTTTACACAGTTTTTGCTATCGGCTTCTACAGTATTTTCCCTGGGGACTGAAGAAATGAACAAACAAATGCCAAAACTGCACACAAAACAATCCACCGCATGGTATTTCTTCCCTAAACTTCCCCACTGGCCAGAAGCCTTGTCTGCATTCAGACCCAGCCTCAACTTTCACAGATTCGGGTTTCACCAGTGGTAACATCAGGGCAGTTTTTTTTTGTTTTGTTTTGTTTTTTTTTAATGAGAAAGAGGACAGGAAGGGGACACAGCTAATGAACAAGTCCCTGTTAAATCCCTGTTACTGTAAAACAGATTTTGGCAAAATTCACCCTTGTCCACAGTCACCAGCAAAAAAAACAGCTGCTCACAGAATAGCCTTACTTCTCTGCAGTGACATCATAAGGATGTGTCATCGTTGAAGACTGCCTTTTATGAGCAAAGTAAATAGCAGAGCCAGGAAAATCGATGCAGAAGGAAGAACGCAAGAAGTACGGTCTGGGTGCACCTTCTGCTCCCTATGCCAGCAGCACATTTTCCAGAGTACGCTCTGGAGTATTTTCTGGTGTATGCTGGTGCAGAAGAAAGACTGTACAATAAAATGGGGTCTGCGTGCCATCACTGGGGAAATAGGCATGCCAATGAGTAAGGAAGAGCAGGAAACAACTGCGGGCAGAACAGGCTGATGACAAGATGAGCACATGGTATCTGATAGACCCAGCGAAGTCCAGAGCACATCAGGGAGGATGAATTAGGATTTGAGACCATGAGAACAAAGGACTGTAATAAAGAAGGGAGTGAAGGAAAAAGAACAGATGGTCCCTTCTTTATCTTAGAGTTAGATGAGGGTACATGGAAATCTCCTTGGACAAGCCACAGGAAGGTAGGCAGTCAATCTCCTGGTGACACTAATAACACTACATACACAGTTTGTCTCTCTGGTAGAGACAAACTTTCAAGCCTGTTTCCTTCATGTGAAGACTTACCACAGTATCAGGGCATCCCTCAGTTTTGTCAGTGGGAGAAACTTTGCAGGGGCACAGTGCCACATTCCCACACCATTTACTTTAGGTTTTGATGATGTTTCTTTCCAAGTCTTTTCTCTAAGCTTGCTTTCTCCATTGCTGTGCCCACTGGGGCCTCTAATTATTAGGTGAAAATGCCCCAAACTGACAAAGTAGCAAAACAAAGGTACTGCTTAGATCAGCCCTGTTTGCTAGTTGTTTTTCAACAGTGCAACACAGGAAAAAAAAAGGCTATTTTGTAATGAGAAAGCATGGTAAGCTTGTATAGGAATCCTTGTGTGAAAACAAGTGAAATTGTGTATATTTATATTTTTTTATATATATGTATTTCTATTTATGTATTTTTTTTTTCTTCTTGAAGAAGAGAAAATTTACAAGAACAATATACAAAGGAAGTGTAACACACAGGAAAAACACGAAGGCTGAACACAGCGCTGTTCCAAAGACACAGACTGCCCTCCCGTGAGCTGCAGACAGCACTCAACTGATCTGCCCACCGAGCACATGAGATTTGCTGCTGAGGCCAGAGGAAAACATAGAGGCATCCCGT